AAAATAACCAATAGCCCAAGAAGAAAAAATGAGTCATTTACTACATACAATGCAAGGACTAACAGCAAATATGTAGGATAGACGGGCAAAAGACTAGCAGAGTGTATCCACGAACACCAACCAGCAGACATGATGAAAACTCCTTAATCTCACAACACGTGGACGGTCCCCACCAGTTTCAACTGGAGTACTATTAGCAAATTAGACCTAGCCAAATCCAAAAATGCTAGGGAATTCCTGGAAGCAGGAATAAAGAGATGAAGGTAGGAAACCTGATTCTTTAATAGTTCTGAGAAAAAAACCACCATTTAATGGAAGAAAAAAAACCCGGTATACAACTTGGAAAAAAAACTCAAAAAATTTGCTAAGCAATAAGATCTGGAATTAATCTGTACACTTCCATTAATGTTATAGAGGGCGTAGTTTATTTTTTGTTTTTTAATACAATATTTTATTATTTGTCATCTTTTATGCAGTATTTAGAAAACAAAACACAGCAGTACAGTACACTAATTCTATCTTAAGTACCAAAACGTAAGGTTAACCTTTAAAACAAAATAAAAGGTGGGAAAATAACAGAAACAAAGAGTATGGAACAGAAGGGTCAATACTTGCAAACTTAGAGCTCTTACGCAGTTAACATCTTTAAAATGACATTTTTGACTGCAATTTCAAGCATACTTCACCATTTATTATGCCACAGGTTCACCTGATTACAACATTCTATTAAAAGAAAGTAAACTGTATTATTTTACTACTATAAAACCAAATATTTAGCAGAGGAAAAAATACAAAACTGTATCCAAGTAGTAAGTTATCTGTATTTTTATTTATTTATCAATGTACAAAGATCAAATTAAAAGCGGAGAAAAACTTCGTAACAAACCTTTTGAAACCATTTAAAAAAACACACCACAGGGATCCAACATCTGGGAGTAAAGTTACCTGAATACGTACTGGGACATTTCAAACATTAAATAACAGGGCTTGTTTATTTATAGAGGGATCAACAGCTAAGCTCAAACTATATATTCTTCAGCTGCACTATCTTAAAAAAGTTTTTGGATAGCTCTAGTATAGAATTATTTCATTAGCTTTAGATGCTTCCTGACTCCAAAACCTTACTGGAGAATAAAATATTTCAGATTTTTTTTGTCAGCTGGCTGATTCATGAGAATGCATGGCCCTTGTCAGCCACCACCTAAATACAATTTAGAAGCATTTTTATGAGATTGATCAATTCGTCTTTGTTGAGCATGCTTCACTGTAAATGAAAAAATTACAATGAATGATTGAAATCATTCAGCATAGGAGACGACTGAATTTTTTTGGTACCGAGTTTGGTAACTTCTGACAAAGCGAATATTTTTCTGTAATAAATCTGACGTGAACGATTGTGTAGTTTCGTTCTTCCATCACCCAGATTAGCAAATTACAATGACAGAAACAAGTCCTTAAAGAGTACAGTTGTTTTTTTGAATTTTCCAGAGATGCTTCTCCTTAGCGCCTTAGTTCTTGCCGAGATATTATTCAGCGATGCAACAGACGCTTACAATTACTTTTCTAAGCTTCAGGTGAATCCTGAAGAGGGTTTAGGACGCCTTCTTTCATTTCCTCAGCAAATATCGTCAAAATTGTGCTGGAGTTTTCCCGTCAGCTGTACCCACGAATTCCCCAGATATCACACAGAAACATAAAAATCGTCCGTTCGCAGCTCCCAAAGGAGATTAAGCCATTATCAGGGCAGGGAGTGACGGGGGAGGCGCTTGGGTGAATGTAGGAGCCGGTTACGCCGCCATCTTAGCCGAAGACCATTAGAGCTGCACAGCGTCCACATTTGGAGTAACACAATGGAAGAAGGCGCTGAACTAGAGCTGGGAGTCTATCACAGACTGGCCCGTAACCAGCCCCATAGCGTGACTCACGAGCTGACACCGCTCTCCCATTTGAGAGACGCGCAACAGCCACGTCGCAGGAAGGCCGAGCCAGCCTCTTCCAAGCGCATGCTCTTTTAGGGGGTTGTCTTCCGTGCCTCCGGCTGAACTCCACCACGCATGCGCCTCCTTCTTCCCGCCGTCGGCGCAAGTCAGGTTGAACCAAAAAGAGAGGCCTTGGGTCTGGCGCGCCTGCGCAGTACACTCAATCGGACGGCGGGCAGACCGGAGGCCGCTCAGAAAGTCACGTCGACGGCTACGACTGGGCGGGCGGGATCGATGGCAGAGAACACGCGCCAGGTCTGTGGGGAAACGGGCGAAAGAACGAGAAGCATCCTCGTGTGTGTGTTAGAGGTCTGAGGGGAGGTAAAAAGAGCAACCGCTTCGCCAGCCAAGCTCGCTGAGGCGAGGCGAGGGGAGGGCAGGGCAGGGCAGGGCAGGGCGGTTGGCAGCCAGGAAAGAGGAGGTGAACATGCCCTCCGACCCGCGTCCCATGCCTTCCCCATCACCGTTTGGCGTCTTTCTCCGCCCCCCTCGAGGCCGGCGCGGCCTGAGGCGGCGGCTGTCCCCTCTCCGGTGGTCGAAGGCGTGCGCACGTGCGTGGGGGGGGGAAGGGGGAGCAAGCGCGCGCGCAAGCGAGGGAAGGAGGGAAAAGCAGCTCTTTCTCTACTACTACTTGTAGAAGGAGCATCGTGGACCGAGGAAGGAGTTGGCTGTCTCGGGCGTCGTTGCCGGGAGAGCCCAGCTTTCTTTCTCCCCGGGCCCGGGATGGCATGTCCGGCTGGAGCTTCAGACAAGAAGTCCGCCTAGCGAGTTTCTCCCAGCCTTATTCCTCTGATTAGGATTGCTTTGCCCAAGCTGGCGCTTTCCGTATGTGTCGGACTATAACTCGGGTGATGTCCAAGCAGGGTAGCTATGGGCGTTGGGGTTGTAGTCCCGCACACTTAAGAGGCTTGGGAAGCTGGTTTAGGTCATGAGAAAAAGGCATTACTATGCACGTGTTCGCTTGCATCGCTCCTCCTAATCTGGTCAAGTGCATAACTTTCTAATCCTGACTCAGTACAACACAGTGGTCATGATACAAGAGAACAGATACCGCGGCCGGTGAGGCTTGCCACTAAAAAGGAAACGATAGGGAGAGTTAAGAGGCAGGGATGCAAGAGAAGAAATATGAAATTTTCCAGCTGTACATGCCTAAAGTGTTACAGGAACCAGGTGTTTTGAAAAACTTCATGAGAAAATGGGCGTTGAGAGGGGATTTAAAGGAAGTAAGAAAGAAGTAGCATGGAAGAAAATTACATTATTCATTAACCTGCATTCTTGCTCTCTAGACCGCACAGTCCAAGGAGCCAGTGAGATTTTTTTGTCCTTAATATTTATCAGCTGGCATTGCTGATCAGACTCCTGCACTGAAGAAATAACATAACTTCGGGGGAAGGCAGAAAAAGACAGTGCTTACTAATTTGTTATTTATTTGTGGCTGATATAATCAGGATGACGCTTTTTAAAGGAAGCAACAATTGGCATTTGGGGGGGGTTCACTTTTCTTTGGTTAACAGATTTATCTCAGTGTTAATGTTAATGTTTGTATTCACTAGATTGTCAGACTTCTGGTCACAGCACTTGAAATCTTTGTAAGTAAAAGGAATAAATGAGTGTAAGTAGGAGAGCAAATGGGGTAAAATAATGCGGGCAGTGGAGGTGCAGACATGATGTAGAGTTTTTCATCATGTCTTCTGACTGCTAGTTGGTGTTCATGGATGCGCTCCACAAGCCTTCTGCATGTCTGTCCTACATAGTGGTTGTTACAGTCCTTACACTGTATGTTGTAGATGAACACCAACTAGCAGTCAGAAGACACGATGAAAACCCCTTAATCTCACAACACATGGACAGACTTAACCATAATTTCAACTGGGAAACTGTTAGACTGGGAAACATCTTAGACCAAGCTAAATCCAAAAATGCAAGGGAATTCCTGGAAGCTTGGTATTCGGACAAGGCAGCCATCAGT